GGGAAAGAGAAAGGCAGCATCATTAGTGTTCTACTGGCCAGGCTCTGCACCAAACCCCCGTGAGAAACCACACCGGGAGAAAGGGCAGCTCTTCCAACTAGCTGTGTGACCTGAGCGAGGTACGAAGGCTCTGTAAGCCTCTTTTTCCTCCTCTGGAAAATGGGGATAATAATACCACCTACCTCGGTGTTATTGAGAAGATTAAAGGTGGATAATCCATGTAAAGTCAGACCACATGGAAGGGCCCAACAAACATTAAATATCATTATTCAGAGACTTCATCTCACCTACCACATCAGGCTGCCTGCTTGCTTATTTATGTATGTTTTTATTCATTGATTCATTTCCAACTTTACTCAAGAAATGCTTACCAGCTGTTCACGAGGATTCCTAAGAAAGAAGACGGCAGACATAAAATGGGGCTGAAAGAAGCACGAGGGTGAACAAGATCCCTCTCTCAATTGAGAAAACGATCCATTAAATAATATGCCTCCAAGAATATACAACAGAGAAAAGGCAGCCTCTTCAATAAGTGGTGCTCGGAAAACTGGACAGCTACGTGTAAAAGAATGAAATGAGAACACTCCCTCACTCCATACACAAAAATAAACTCCACATGGATTAAAGACCTAAATGTAAGGCCAGACACTATAAAACTCTTAGAGGAAAACATAGGCAGAACACTCTATGACATAAATCACAGCAAGATCCTTTTTGACCCACCTCCTGGAGAAATGGAAATAAAAACAAAAATAAACAAATGGGACCTAATGAAACTTAAAAGCTTTTGCACAGCAAAGGAAAACACAAACAAGTTGAAAAGACAGCCCTCAGAATGGGAGAAAATATTTGCAAATGAAGCAACTGACAAAGGATTAATCTCCAAAATTTACTAGCAGCTCATGCAGCTCAATATTAAAAAAAACAAACAACCCAATCCAATAATGGGAAGAAGACCTAAATAGACGTTTCTCCAAAGAAGATATACAGACTGCCAACAAACACATGAAAGGATGCTCAACATCACTAATCATTAGAGAAATGCAAATCAAAACCACAGTGAGGTATCACCTCACAGCAGTCAGAATGGCCATCATCAAAAAATCTAGAAAGAATAAATGCTGGAGAGGGTGTGGAGAAAAGGGAACCCTCCTGCACTGTTGGTGGGAATGTAAGTTGATACAGCCACTATGGAGAACAGTATGGAGGGTCCTTAAAAAAACTACAAATAGAACTACCATACGACCCAGCAATCCCACTCCTGGGCATATACCCTGAGAAAAGCAGAATTCAAAGAGTCATGTACCACAGTGTTCCTTGCAACTCTATTTAACAATAGCCAGGACATGGAAGCAACCTAAGTGTCCATCGACAGATGAATGGTTAAAGAAGACGTGGCACATACATACAATGGAATATTACTCAGCCATAAAGAAGAAACGAAACAGTTATTTGTAGTGAGGTGGATGGACCTAGAGTCTGTCATACAGAGTGAAGTAAGTCAGAAACAGAAAAACAAATACCGTGTGCTAACGCATATATATGGAATCTAAAAAAAAGAAAAAAAAAAAAAGGTTCTGAAGAACCTAGGGGCAGGACAGGAATAAAGACGCAAGCATAGAGAATGGACTTGAGGACACGGGGAGGGGGAAGGGTAAGCTGGGACGAAGTGAGAGAGTGGCATGGACATATATACACCACCAAATGTAAAATAGATAGCTAGTGGGAAGCAGCCACATAGCACAGGGAGATCAGCTCGATGCTTTGTGACCACCTAGAGGGGAGGGTTAGGGAGTGGGGGAGGGACAGGGAGCGGGGGAGGGATATGCAAGAGGGAGGAGATATGGGGATGTATGTATACGTATAGCTGATTCACTTTGTTATACAGCAGAGAGTGGCACACCATTGTAAGGCAATTATACTCCAATAAAGAGGTTAAAAACTAATAATAATATGCCTGTGACTGACCCAAAGCTTTATCATTCCTATTCTGATGGGAGAATCACACTCCACAAGGGAAGCGTTCTTATTTATTGTGCACCTAGGACATGCCAGTCTCTTTCCAAAGGCCATTTCTTTCTCTCTCCAACATATGTTTGTTCGGTGTATTAAAGGGCTGATGATCGTAACGTGGGGAATTAATTTACTTTCCAAACATGTCAGTCTATATTCTAAATATCTACAACGGCAGGTACCCCAAATGCCATATCCCTTAGCCTATTTTATGGACAAAGAAATAGAGGCTTACAGAATGCAGAATCATCTTTGGGAGGCAGATAATGCCCCAGCGTAAAGAGCATAAGTTTCCAAGCTAGACAGAATTGGCCTTGAAACCCAGTTCTGCAACTTTGGGCAACCTATTTAATCACTTTGGACCACATGTTGCTTATCTTGAGAACAGAATAGTAACACCTCCTTGCAAGATCTGAGTAGAGATGCAAAGTAGGCCTCCTAGGACAGCTTCGTATTTGCCAAATACATGGTCCGAGGTCCATAGTGAATGAATGAAGTAGGGAAGACGCCACGGCTAGAATACATGTTATCTCTTCCATGCTGTGTTCTCAATCTATATCCAGATTATGTTGCCCTATCATCAGTCCATATAGCAGAGTCCTTAGGGGCACAGATGTTGACTTTAGATAAATCTAGGTTTTAAACTGAACTCTGCTATTGTTTATAAGCTGAGCAGTCTTCAGGTTTCTTAAACTCACAAGGACTTAATTTTTTCATCTGTAAAATGGGATTATCTCACTTACCATAGAAGATTATTGGAGGCAGTCAATGAGGCGATGTTTATAAAATGCTTAGCCAAGCGCCTGGCACATCGTGACTCAGTTAATTTGGGAGTACCTGTTATTTGAATACTACCTTTTTTGGATGGTGATGACAGCCAAGGTTCTTTTTCTCTTACAGAGCATACTTGGATGTTAATGAGCTGAAGAACATTCTTAGACTGGATGGATCAACACACCTCAATATCTTCTTTGCAAACTCCTCGGAGGAGGAATTGGCAGGAGTAGCAACTTGGCCGTGGGACAAGGAGGCCCTAATGCATTTAGGTGAGAATTAGAAACTTCTTCCGGAAGAAATTGGATTAGTACAGGGATACGTTTAGTAGTAAAGGATGATGATGATGGAGATCACGGTAGTGATGATGGTGAACAACCTATTATCACTTTTTAATTTTTCAACACTCTTTAGCATTCCTTATCTTTCACCCATCAAGTGATGCTTTGAGAAATATCACAGTGTTATTAATCCTGTTCTACCAATGGAGAAACTTAAGATCCAGAGAGGGAATGGGACTTATCCAAGGTCACAAACAAATCAGCGGCAGAACCACAACTGGAATTTAAATTTCCAACTGTCTCCGTCTGTTGCTTTCTCCTTATACCCCCTGCCTCTTAGTTCATGCAGATATCTTCTCTACCTAGTAACCCCATTGTGCTGGCCCAGCCAGTGATGGGTTGACTTGAAAGATGCCAAAGAGGCAAGAGAGAGTTCGTAAGAACTCCCTGTTCCTCCATATTCCACCCACCAACACCACCAGGAGCTCTTCTTACATTCAAATTATGCAGATCCATAAACAAGACATACGTTTACACAAACCAGTCACCAAAAGTCAGAAGTGGCAATGGTTTCTGAACCAGGCCCTGTAAGCAAACGTTGTTCTTCAATTTTAGTTTTTCCATGCTCTCTTCCAATACACGTCTATAGGTAGACATGCATTTTTCAACTTGTGCATATTTGAAATCATAGCACGCATGCATGTGCTCTTTTGCACTTAATATTCTTTTTTTTTCCACTTAGTATTATGCTATCTACATTTTCCCATGGTGAAACAGTCTTCAAAATTACTTCCCACCCAACTTTTTTTCATTTAACATCACAAGAGGAAAACATCCCTCTAGGTTATGTCCAGTTCTCTAAAGACGAGATATTTTTTAATAGCCACATAATGTTCCATTGACTGAGGGCACTGCAATTTATTTGGCTATTTTCCCCTTGTTAGAATGTTCCTATTATTTACACCAGTGAATAGTGATGACTCAGTGAGTACCTTCATCTGAGAATGCTAGGGCTCAGCAGAGTGATGGTGCTGGATCTTTCCTCAGGCCTGTCTGGTCTCCTGGTGATACAGCCAGAGTCCAGTAGCTGCTCTAAATCCACAGTATCTTGGAGATAAGGGACTCTGCAACTTCAAACAATAAAGTTGTGTTGAGTCAAACTCTAGACTTAGTTCTCTCCAGACCACTGTCTTTTCCTAGTTGTTTTTAAGAGAGTGAAACCAATTTGTGTGTCTGTGTGTTTGCACACACACATATGTGTGGTTGTGTAAATAGACAGAAACAAAAATAAATATCCAGTGGTTCTAACTGGGTGGATTTTTATGTCCTAGGAGACATTTGACAATGTCTAGAGGAAATTTTGGATTTTACAAATGGGGGAATGCTACTGGCATCTAGTGGGTAGAGGCCAGCGATGCTGCTAGATCTCCTACAATACCCACAGTAAAGAATTATCCAGCCCAAAATACCAGTAGTGCTGTTGTTGAGAAACCCTGAGATAGATGATGGTTGGGTAGACAGATAGACAGGCAGACCTAGACAGACAGGGGCGAGGCAAAAGAGAGTGTGCAGCTTAGGCAAGCTGAAGCCGATTAGCTCATGTCACATGCCTAACATGGTGTATGGTAATCTTGCTGGTTCAGGGCCAAAATACATGGTTGTTCTTAGCTGTGACTTAACAGGATGGCCTTAGGCAAGACTCTTTCCTTCTCCAGGTCTCAATTTCTTCAGATTTTAAAGGAATAGGTTAGACTTAGAGGGTCTCCAAGGACCCTTTTCAGTGCTGAAATTCTGTCCTCTTGGAAAATCAGCCAAAAGGGTCATGATCAGAGTTTTAGAAGGGTTGAACAGCAGGCTTCTAAAATTAGAGAAAAATACTCCTGATAATACCGTGGATCTCAGAGACTGGCTCAGGACCAGGAATACAGAAGGCTATAAATCCATAGCATGTTATAGTATTTCAGGATGATGTCAGCCTCAAGCTATTTCACCTTTTAAGAGAAGCAGTGGAACAGGGCTCAAGCTCTGTGCTGTCGCTCTGTGAAAAGGGGAGAGTTGGGAGGGGATGAGGTGAAACAGACAGAGCCAGGCTGGACATTAAGTCTGCAATCCTGTCATTATCCCTGGAAATACCTAAGGGGTCCTGCCAGCCTCCCATTCCCCATTTACCTCAATGTTAAAGCTTCACAGAAAGACAGAGAATCATTGGCGCTATCTATCGTAGCTGTTTATTTTAGAGCACGCCAGAGATGCAAAGTCACTTTCCCAAGATGACACAGCCAGTGCAAGACAGAATGAAGATTGCAATCCATGTCTAGCTAATTCCAGCGGGCCTCCAGGCTGCCATCTCCCCATTCTGAGACATCTTGATCATAAGCAACTCCTCTGCAGTAGGCCCAATCAAACCCAATTTATTAGAACTATATATATATATATATATATATATATATATATATACAATACAAAATAAGTATACACAGTGATGTAATTAGGTTACCCCTAAAACTTAAAATTAATATGTGGAAAAAGTACCTTTGTATCTTGTGGCTCAGTTTCAGAGCATTGCCTCTGTCCTGTTTCTATTATGGAATCCAGGACATCTGGATTATCATCTGTAAATCAGTTTGCACAGAATCACTTTTAACCCTCTTTTCCTGCTGTTATGCCATGATCCCTGGAAAAAGCCTTGGGTGGGAAGGCGATTATGTTTCATATTACGATTGACAGAAAATAATTGAGAGAGATTTCCTGTCTCAATTTCTCTTCCTCCCCGCCTCTGCCTGCCCCTTCTCACATACACACGCGCGTGCACACAGCCCCACACATCCTCTCATACATCTTTATCTTTGTGCTGGAAGGCTCTGAGCAGTTCAGAATTAATAGACTCCATGAGCCCCATGGCTGAGCAGGCTCACCCTCCCAGCAGTTCAGTCCGAGATAAAACTACCCCCATGCCTGCCCCAGGCTTGCCAGCACAAATCAGCAAGGCCTGGCTCCTCTCCGTTCTTTCATAAGATCCTGCTCTGCACACAGTCACTGCTTGCAGGTTGCTCAGACTTGCATCTTAACCTTCCCTTAAACACACTTGGATTTCCTTCTTTTTTCTTTGGCCACTCTGCTTGGCTTGTGAGATGTCAGTTCCCCGAACAGGGATCGAACCTGCACCCCCAGCAATGAAAGCACCAAGTCTTAACCGCTGGGCCGCCAGGAAATTCCCCACACTTGGATTTTCCAGTTGAAATATCTCTCTGCCAGCCTGTGTGTATTTCTCCAGTGCCTAAAAATGAACATAGAGCCATGCTATCCATTGATTTTCCTGACATCTGGTCCATCTATCTGCTCAAGTGAAGCAAAGCTCAATCTTTAAAGACGTGGGGTAGATGATTGCTTCTCAAACTAGAACGCACAGGCAAGTCCTCTGGGGCTGTTGTTAAAATACGTATTCTGATTCTGTAGGTCTGCGGTGGGGCCTAAGAGTCTGCATTTTTAGTCACCCTCCAGGTGATGCCGCTGCTGCTTGTTCTTGAGCTACACCTGGAGTAGCAAGTGGTTAGACAGTAAGTAGGGCACTTGCTGTGTGTCAGGTGCTATGCTGGCTGCCTACGTGTGATTACTTAGGCCTCACAAAACATCTTTATTGGGTGGGCATTCAGCAGATATTCAACATACATTTAATGAGATGCCATATTCTGGACCCTGTGGTGAGCATTAGCAGTAGAACTCAGATTAAGACCCCTGGCTTTGGAACCCAAGGATCTTGGGTTCAAGTTCCAGCTCCCCATTTACTAATTCGATCATGGGCCAGTTACTTCACCTCTCTGTGAGTCAGTGCCCCTCTCACTGGGTTGTGAGATGATTCAATGTGATTATACACATTAAACACTGAGCACAGAGCCTGAGGATACATAATGAATGCTCAAGAAACAGTGGCTATTTTGACCAGTGTTATAATGGTGAGCACGCCATGGTGCTGGACTTTATGAATATTCACTCTCAAAGGGTACAGAGCTGCAGAAATGGGATTCAGAGACGGCAATTGACTTGCCATACAGAGTGAGTGAAGGCAAAATGAGAACCGGAACCGAGGTGTCTGGCCATGAGGGCTTCATTTAAGCAGATGCCTGTAGAGCGTTTGTGAACCAGGGCATGCCACGCTTCCTAAGAAGTTGCAGCTGAAATGTTGGCCAGCCCAGAAATCAAAGTCCTTGAATTCTAATTATGCCACTTCTTCTAAGTAGTTTGAAATCCCCTTGGTTAAGTTGCCTCACTTTTTTAGGCATCGGTGTTTTCAACTGAAAAATGAAGGGATTGCACAAAATGACTTTTGAGACTCCTTCCTACTCAATCAGTGATTAACACCACAAGTCGTAACAGCTCTCAGCAGTGGAGTCATAGGGTGGAGAAGCCTGTGGTTGCTTTGGGCAGCACCCCATTTACACTTGGCTGATTTGGGGATCCCTGCATCAGGAAGCAGAGTGCCCAGTTTGCCTAATCCTCCGGCTTTCCCCTTGCAGGTGGCATTGTCTTGAATCCATCTTTCTATGGCATTC